AAAAAAGGTCTTTAAGGATAAATATTTAAAGAATTCTTTTCATGAATAAATACATACACTATTTCCCAATGACTTTTCATGGTTTTGGAAATCTCTGACAGTACTACTATAACCATTCTATAGGTATTAAGAGTGGATTTCAAATAAAGAAACTTTACATGTGTAAGAAAAATAGTTATTGATGATTTCAGGGCAGCTCTGCTCGCTGCTTTTCTGCTTAACTGGTCTTGGAATGTCTAACTATATATTTCCAAACACTGATGCACTGATGAGGTGCAGTGGAAAAACAAAGGCAGCATTTGGCCTAGTTTGGAGTACAGTGCCATTGGAATTCATATTCAGCTGCCAGCTATTTTGTTTTGCTATGTCATGGATGTTCTGCACCTGAGCACTTACTGTTGTTTCAGATATGTTAATTCCTACCCAGATGTCTAACACATTTATTCTTAAATGAATGTTTCTTCATCATTATCCCCCAATGTGGCAGCTCCAGTTGGATTTTATCACATATCACAATTTATGTCACAATGATTAGAGCACCAGTGTGGGAATATTGTGTGTCCTTAATTTCCCCTGCTGTCTGTGCATTATTCCCTTCTTTCATTAACTGTGTAGGGTCAGGTATTCATAGAATCACAGAATATCAGAGTTGGAAGGGACTTCTGGAGGTCATCTAGTCCAACCCCCTGCCCAGAGTAGGACCAATCCCCAACTAAATCATTCCAGCCAGGGCTTTGTCAAGCCTGACCTTAAAAACCTCTAAGGAAGGGATTCCACCACCTCCCTAGGGAACGCATTCCAGTGTTTCACCACCCTCCTAGTGAAAAAGTTTTTCCTAATATCCAACCTAAATCTCCCCCACTGCAACTTGAGACCATTACTCCTTGTCCTGCCATCTGCTATCACTGAGAATAGTCTAGATCCATCCTCTTTGGATCCACCTTCCAGGTAGTTAAAAGCAGCTATCAAATCCCCCCTCATTCTTCTCTTCTGCAGACTAAACAATCCCAGTTCCCTCAGCCTCTCCTCATAAGTCATGTGTTCCAGACCCCTAATCATTTTTGTTGCCCTCCACTGGACTCTCTCCAATTTTTCCACATCCTTCTTGTAGTGTGGGGCCCAAAGCTGGACACAGTACTCCAGATGAGGCCTCACCAATGTCGAATAGAGAGGAACGATCACGTCCCTCGATCTGCTGGCAATGCCCCTACTTATACACCCCAAAATACCATTGGCCTTCTTGGCAACAAGGGCACACTGTTGACTCATATCCAGCTTCTCGTCCACTGTAACCCTTAGGTCCTTCTCTGCAGAACTGCTGCCTAGCCATTTGGTCCCTAGTCTGTAGCGGTGCATTGGGTTCTTCCGTCCTAAGTGCAGGACTCTGCCCTTGTCCTTGTTGAACCTCATCAGATTTCTTTTGGCCCAATCCTCCAATTTGTCTAGGTCCCTCTGTATCCTATCCCTACTGTCCAGTGTATTTACCACTCCTCCCAGTTTAGTGTCATCCGCAAACTTGCTGAGGGTGCAATCCACACCATCCTGCAGATCATTAATGAAGATATTGAACAAAACCCATTTGTGTAAATTTCTTTGTTTGATAGAGAGCATTGCAGGGTTCGTGGAGTGAGAAGTCTTATATAAAAAGGATTTCTCTAGTTATATGCAAAATATTTTTAAAAATTTGATCTTTAGCTTATGCCTTCTGGGATTTGGGGAGAGAGATGGAAAGACAGTGTCCAGAAGAAGACCAGGCAGAGGGAGGAGAGGATGAAAGAGACAGAGAAAACAAACAAGTTGGAAAGGCACACACACACAAAGAGGTGCAATGGCATTGCCATTAATCGGGACACTTAATGTGATCACTGAAACATGTTCTTTATATTCTAAGGTGGGAGTGTCAGAGATTGAAATAATGTTGTGAACTAGCCCCCTGTTGAGGCAGTAATTTACAATCCCGATTAAAGTCTCAAAGCACACCCCAAAGCACTAGATCATTGGAGGTCTGGATAAATGAGGTTAACATGTTGGCTGTTTTTCACTATTACCAATGTGGGGGGAAGACCAGGGAGACTAAGAGTGCATCTACACTGCACCCTTCTTTCAGCAGTATGTAATGTTCAAACATGGGCAGTTCCCCGAGCATATGTAACAACAGCAGTGTAGATCCATGGTCCCCAAACTGTGGAGTGTGGAGGAACGTTCTGGGGGAACACCGCACAGCAGGGCCCAGCCCAGCCCCCACAGAGGGCAGGGAGGGAAAACCGCCCAGCCCCGCTTTGTCCCCAGCTCTGCTCCAGCCAAGCACAGCCTCTTTTATTCCAGTGTAAAAATACTCTAAAAGCATTTAAATAGATGCTGGGTACAAAAGTGCTTTCAGTGTGTCCGTACCTTCCTTGGCTCTAGGTACTGAGTGTCCCCTTCTCCCTGGGCAACCCTTTGCCAGGTAATTAGAGAGCCAGCAAGAAGGCTTCCCCCACTACCTGAACCCACTATTTATTAGTCCCTTTGTTTTCTGGGGACAGAACCTTGATCCAGATGAGTGAGATTTGCAGAAGTGATAAGAGATGTTTGCAATATCCCAGCTGCACTGTGCTTGCCATAAAATTAAAGCAACTTTAATTTGTGTAATTTCTCCCATGCCAAAGGCATCTCCAGGTGCTTCCCAGAGTTAAATAATAAATGGCTGAGGGAAAAAAGGAATGTAAAGATACATGCAGGGGAGGGGAGAGATTTTCAGATAAAAAGAAATGGAGGAGAGCTGATGAAGCAGAGGAACAGGGGAGTTTTTCTGTGCAGCTGAAGCTGCAGATGAGGTGGTGGTTGCCTGAGCAGTGACAAGGCAGTATAGAGGCAAACATTCAGTGAGGGAATGAGCAGAGAAGAGGGGCAAGGACAGGGTAGGTGATGGGGCCTCACTTTGGAGCAGTGTTCTGAAACAAATGGGGAGAATTTGAGGTTGGGGTAAAGTTGTTGCACTTATTTGTACAAGTGTGAATTTGGTTAGCAGTACCATGCACATACTAGTGACCTTGAACTTGGTGAGCCTATATTGAAAATTATTGTAAGAACTGTGGCAACAGGAGATGTAGGTCTGAATGAGGATCCGAGCAGTGGTGGACACAGGTATTGTTCCACAGATACTAAAAAGCAGATATACGGGTACAGAAAAAGTGAAAGGGGAATAGTTGAGGATCAAAGGTAAAGCCCAAGTGTACAAATTGAAGGCATGTGAAAGGTCTGGGAAGAGGAGATTTATAGCGTGCCCTTAGGTTGCTTGTAGGATTGTTTTTCAGGGACACTTGAAGTGGTAAGGCATGTTATTGTTAGTGAAATTAGACATTTGTTACTATTTTGAACAATTGAAGCTCTACAAATTGAGGTCCCTGTCCAGGACAGGAATGTTCCTAGTGGTGATGATTGGTAGCTCCTTGAAGAATGAAGTCTCTGTTCAAACACACATGATCTTCCTCCCAACGGCAGCTTCCTCATTTAGAGTATATCTTAGCTGCCAGTGAAGGTGTTATTGTAGCATGCGTAGATGGAGCAAGATGAAAACTAGCCTGGGTAACCATAGCAGTAAAGACCAGTGGCACAGGCTTCAGCACAGGTTAGCAACCTGAGGATGTATCCAAGGTCCCTGGTGGGCCTGTACTCGGGCTAGCTGCCCAAGTACAAGCCCGTGCCATCATGTCTTCACTTGTGTTGTTACTTGTGTGTGACCCCAAGAGCACCTTCATGCCCTCTGGCAGGGGGCCCACTGTACAGTAACTCATATCAGGCCTGACACACTCTGAAACCCAACACACTGTCATCATAATATATATCCAAAGGATATCTTGTACGGTATCATATGTAAACTGGTGACACATGATGTATATACAAGTTGTGTATAATGAATTATGTATGTGCTGGAAGTATGTTCTTCAGATGTGTTTGTACGGCAGTTCATAAACCCAGCCTACCCTAAACAAAGGAATGTGCATTGACCTGTCTGTCCGACTTGCTTGCAGGCAGAGGACAATGAAAGCACATTTACATGTAAGATAATCACAGCAATCAAGTTAAAAAGGGGAAAATAGCTTAGTGAGCACGCTAGGGGACAGAGTCTGTATCCCCAGGAAGTCTCCCTGGCTCTTGAGGAAAGACAATGGACTTTGGGGAAATATAAGGAGACCAGAAAGATACTCTAGTTGTCCATTATTTAGGGAACAAAGGAGACAGCACCCTCTGATTCTGTGAATATTGGATCCTCTTGCCAGAAGGAGTGGAGATGCTGGTGGCTTGATGTAAGTGAGAAAGCTGTTTAGGTAAAGTTAGTAGTAGACATTGGAAAGCATGTTTCATATTATTTTGTTTGTAGCCATGCCTGTTCTTTTACTCTTGCTACACTTACATTTCTGTTCTTTGTTAATAAATGCATTTTTAGTTGTAGTATAAATCATCTCAGTGCTGTTATATTGAAGTCAGTGTGAGTCTTTAGCTAAGCTAGCAGACTGGTGAGTGCTGTGTCTCTTTTGGAGACAGGGACCTTAACTTCTGTGAGTGACTGGGGAGAGGGACAGGACGCTCCAGGGAGATGTGTCTGGGGAACTCAGGAATGTGGAGATCACTGTTACCTGCAAGACAGGGTTTAGACTGCTAGAGACTTGAGGAGTTGGCTAGCAAGGCAGAAAGGCTGGAGTTTCAGGGAGCTGACACACATGCTAATCTTCAGCAAAGTTCATGCTCACACTTGCTAAGGCAGAGTGGTAACATGGTGGCTTGCAGTTCTGGAAGAGAGCATCTAGTGGTAGCCAGATTAAAACCAGCATGCGGATCCTATCCATGCTACAGTTATACCTTCACTTGAATCCACCTAACACAGGTAACAAAAATAGTGAAGATTTGGCTACTGTTACAGTGCTAGCTTTAATCTAGCTATGTCTACCTACTTCCTAATGGCTCATTGCACATGTGTGATAAACCATGCTCTAAATTGCCCTTTTTCTGCCCTGCAGATAGAAATGTATGAACGAGTATTTCAGAAACCACCAGACCGTCACTCTGACTTCTCTCGACTAGCCCGTGTTTTGACTGGAAATGCTGTGGCCCTAGTGCTCGGAGGTGGTGGAGCCAGGTAAGTCCCATAAGGTTGTTCTGTGTACTCTGAAAAGGCCTCTGTCCTACTGGTCAGGCCCTGTGGGCCGCAATGGCCACAGTAAAAAGAAAAGGAGGACTTGTGGCACCTTAGAGACTAACAAATTTATTTGAGCATAAGCTTTCGTGAGCTACATCTCACTTCATTGGATGCATGCAGTGGAAAATACAGTGGGGAGATTTTATATACACAGAGAACATGAAACAATGGGTGTTACCATACACACTGTAACCAGAGTGATCAGGTAAGGTGAGCTATTACTAGCAGGAGAGGGGAAAAAAACAAACCCTTTTGTAGTGATAATCAAGGTGGGCCATTTCCAGCAGTTGACAAGAATGTGTGAGGAACAGTGGGGGAGGAGGGAGAATAAACATGGGGAAATAGTTTTACTTTGTGTAATGACCCTTCCACTCCCAGTCTTTATTCAAGCTTAAGTTAATTGTATCCAGTTTGCCAATTAATTCCAATTCAGCAGTTTCTCGTTGGAGTCTGTTTTTGAAGTCTTTTTGTTGTAATATTGCGACTTTTAGGTCAGAGATTGAAGTGTTCTCTGACTGGTTTTTGAATGTTATAATTCTTGATATCTGATTTGTGTCCATTTATTCTTTTACGTAGAGACTGTCCGGTTTGGCCAATGTACATGGCAGTGGGGCATTGCTGGCACATGATGGCATATATCACACTGGTAGATGAGCAGGTGAACGAGCCTCTGATAGTGTGGCTGATGTGATTAGGCCCTATGATGGTGTCCCCTGACTAGATATGTGGACACAGTTGGTAACGGGCTTTGTTGCAAGGATAAGTTCCTGGGTTAGTGTTTTTGTTGTGTGGTGTGTGTTTGCTAGTGAGTATTTGCTTCAGGTTGGGGGGCTGTCTGTAAGCAAGGACTGGCCTGTCTCCCAAGATCTGTGAGAGTGATGGGTCGTCCTTCAGGATAGGATGTAGATCCTTGATGATGCGTTGGAGAGATTTTAGTTGGAGGCTGAAGGTGATGGCTAGTGGCGTTCTGTTATTATCTTTGTTGAGCCTGTCCTGTAGTAGGTGACTTCTGGGTACTCTTCTGGCTCTGTCAATTTGTTTCTTCACTTCAGCAGGTGGGTATTGTAGTTGTAAGAATGCTTGATAGAGATCTTGTAGGTGTTTGTCGCTGTCTAAGGGGTTGGAGCAAATGCGGTTGTATCGTAAAGTTTGGCTGTAGACAATGGATCGTGTGGTCTGGATGAAAGCTGGAGGCATGTAGGTAGGAATAGCGGTCAGTAGGTTTCCGGTATAGGGTGGTGTTTATGTGACCATCGCTTATTAGCACAGTAGTGTCCAGGAAGTGGATCTCTTCTGTGGACTGGTCCAGGCTGAGGTTGATGGTGGGATGGAAATTGTTGAAATCATGGTGGAATTCCTCAAGGGCTTCTTTTCAATGGGTCCAGAAGATGAAGATGTCATCAATATAGCACAAGTAGAGTAGGGGCATTGGGGACGAGAGCTGAGGAAGCGTTGTTCTAAGTCAGCCATAAAAATGTTGGCATACTGTGGGGCCATGTGGGTACCCATAGCAGTGCCGCTGATTTGAAGGTATACATTGTCCCCAAATGTGGAACAGTTATGGGTGAGGACGAAGTCACAAAGTTCAGCCACCAGGTCAGCCGTGACATTATCGGGGATAGTGTTCCTGACGGCTTGTAGTCCATCTGTGTGTGGATTGTTGGTGTAGAGGGCTTCTACATCTATAGTGGCCAGGATGGTGTTTTCAGGAAGATCACCGATGGATTGTAGTTTCCTCAGGAAGTCAGTGGTGTCTCGAAGATAGCTGGTAGTGCTGGTAGTGTAGGGCCTGAGGAGGGAGTCTACATAGCCGGACAATCCTGCTGTCAGGGTGCCAATGCCTGAGATGATGGGGCGTCCAGGATTTCCAGGTTTATGTATCTTGGGTAGCAGATAGAATACCCCAGGTTGAGGTTCCAGGGGTGTGTCTGTGCAGATTTGTTCTTGTGCTTTTTCAGGGAGTTTCTTGAGCAAATGCTGTAGTTTCTTTTGGTAACCCTCAGTGGGATCAGAGGGTAATGGCTCTTGATGTATCTTTGTCCTCTGTGATACAGGAGGGCCAGGGGACAGTGGTAGAGGGGAAATATAGAAGCCCTAGGCTAATTAAAGCGTAGTTCTCTGTAGACTAGGGAGGTTTGCTACAGGTTAATTGGAGCACCTATAGTCAATTAAGCCCTGTCAGGAACCTAACAAAACCCCCTGCTTCAGGCAGTCATGGGAGGAGGAGAAAGGAGCGAGGACTGGAGCTTGGAGGTGTGTTGTACGATTTGAAAAACCAGAGAACCGACATGAGGGAGACGCTGCCCCAGCAGGGGAGGGATACTTCCTCCCCCAACATCTAAGGACTGAAGGTTCGCCACCCAAGGGGGAAGAGGGTAAGAACCCGCATGGGTCAAGAAGGGCTGGGGCTCAGAGTGAGCAAACCTAGACCCCTCCCCCACTTCCCCCCTCTATCACCTTCCCGGGCCACTGTCGGGGACCTCAGCATCCCAGGAGCAGGGGCAAGGGGTGGTGTCTTAGTCCCCTGCCAAGAAAAGCGCAGGATCCACCATACTAACATCAGCCATCTTGCCACACCTCCTTCACAAACCCAAATGAATTAATTCTTATTCTGCTGTATTTGAAATTGCTAAGTCGGTGATGTGAGTTGAGGAACGTGCCCTGGGCTTATGTACCATCGCTTTGCAGAGTGTGTTTGCACACTGTGGGTTTGTAAATGGTGCTGCTGCAAGGACAGGAGGGGATTGGACTGTAGAGCGGATGAGCTGATTTTTTTGGAAGACACCTCTGAACAATATAAGCTGCTAGTAACAAGTCCCTTATTTCACAATCCTTACTACTCTTTCGAGCAGTATCTCTATGGGTGCTCCGCTGGAGCTGTGTCTGTGTCCCTGTGCTTCTGATCAGAGATCTCTTGGTAGCCATGTCTGTTTGGCCCACACATGCACCCTCCCTCCCTCATGCACTGCCTTGAGGCTAAGTAGTGCTGCACAGGCAAACCACCCTCAGTTTCTTCTCAACTGCCCCTGGCTAGATACAGAGTAATTAGCAGTCTGTTCATGGATACTTTACCTCTTTACAAGTCTTTCTCTTGGATATTATTAGTGTTTTCGTTTGCCCTTTCTTCTTTGTTTGATAGGGTTTTCTTTCCTATTCAAAAAAATTTTTAAATTATTTTTAAAGGTTGACGACCCCCCCCACACACACACCCTCCCACCCACAGATTGTCCCCAGCAAGGGGCATGCTTGGCTTCCCCCAGTTTTAAGCGGTGCCTCTCCTGCAGGGAGGCCACACCAGTAACAGATGGACATTTCCGCTGCATCCATTGCCTCAGGCAGGCCCTCATTCCCCAGAAGTGTGCTTTTTGACAAGAGCTGAAAGCCAGATCCCCAAAAAACGGGAAATAAAACTGAAATTACTCCTTATGGAGGGACCTTTTCAACCTGTGTCCAATCCAGGTCCTGAGTCTCTTTGGCAATGCGAGCCATCGCCACAGCCTTCTACCTTCAAAGAGGGTGAACCAAGAGAAAAAACCTTCAGATTCCCCGTGCAAGACCTCCACAAAAAGAGCTACGAGCCCTCACAATGAGTCCTGAACTATCCAGAGATTCACGGCACGTTCAGTCATTTCAGTGCTGACAGCACCAACGGCTTCTAAGCATGGTACCCACAAATTGCTTGGGACTTCCATTTCAGACACCGCTAGTAAGCCTAAGGACCCTATGGGCACAGGCACCAAAGCAGTGGTACCTCCTGTCAGAGACAGGAACATAGACCATATCATCTCTGTGAAGATGGCACCAGTATGGAAGCCCTCCGTACCAATGAATTAGTAGGGAAAGCAAAAGTGGATGGGAACCTGGGAGGCAGTGACCATGAGATGGTCGAGTTCAGGATCCTAACACAAGTAAGAAAGGAGAGCAGCAGAATATGGACCCTGGACTTCAGAAAAGCAGACTTTGACTCCCTGTGGGAACTGATGGGCAGGATCCCCTGGGAGAATATAACATGAAGGGGGAAAGGAGTCCAGGAGAGCTGGCTGTATTTTAAAGAATCCTTATTGAGGTTACAGGGACAACCCATCCCGATGTGTAGAAAGGATAGTAAACATGGCGATCGGGGGAATAGTAAACAGTCAGCGTGGATTCACCAAGGGCAAGTCATGTCTGACTAATCTAATTGCCTTCTATGATGAGATAGCTGGCTCTGTGGATGAGGGGAAAGCAGTGGATGTGTTATTCCTTGACTTTAGCAAAGCTTTTGACACGGTCTCCCACAGTATTCTTGCCAGCAAGTTAAAGAAGAATGGGCTGGATGAATGGACTATAAGGTGGATAGAAAGCTGGCTAGATTGTTGGGCTCAACGGGTAGTGATCAATGGCTCCATGTCTAGTTGGCAGCCGGTATCAAGTGGAGTGCCCCAAGGGTTGGTCCTGCGGCCGGTTTTGTTCAATATCTTCATTAATGATCTGGAGCATGGCGTGAATTGCACCCTCAGTAAGTTTGCAGATGACACTAAACTGGGAGGAGAGGTAGATACGCTGGAGGGTAGGGATAGGATACAGAGGGACCTAGACAAATAAGAGGATTGGACCAAAAGAAATCTGATGAGGTTCAACAAGGACAAGTGCAGAGTCCTGCACTTAGGACGGAAGAATCCCATGCACCACTACAGACAAGGGACCGAATGGCTGGGCAACAGTTCTGCAGAAAAGGACCTAGGGGTTACAGTGGACGAGAAGCTGAATGTGAGTCAACAGTGTGCCCTTGTTGCCAAGAAGGCTAATGGCATTTTAGGCTGTATAAGTAAGGGCATTGCCAGCAGACAGAGGGACGTGATCATTCACGTGATATATAACGTGATAGTTATAAACTGTTCAGGAAGGACAGGCAGGGCAGAAAAGGTGGGGGAGTAGCACTGTATGTAAGGGAGCAGTAT